AAGGATACTCATGAAAGAAACATTATGCTAACGTTATTCAAAAACCTATTACTTAATCCCAATTATTATTTAAGTATTTTAAATTTGCTTTTCCCAAAAGAAATTTTTAATTGTAACTACTAATAAGAAATAGCATACCCATATTTGAGCCATAATTTTCTGGACTATCCATTATTCTTGAATTCCCACCCAACAGGGGTTGCTTTGGTAACATGGGGAAAGCACTGATACTCTTCACTGGAGGGCTTGAGCCAACAGACACCGGGCTATCTAGAGACACTGCTCGGTTATACGGAGGACGAATGGACTGCAGCGACTGTGGACTTCTCAAACCTGCTGAAAATATACAATACGTAAATATCCCCTCATGATTCAATATACAAATAATGAAGTACAAGACATAAATACCACCACTACCCACCAAGCATGCGTTTCTTACTAAACCAAACACTGTCTTCCTTTACAAAATAAACACTGAGCCAAAAAAAAAAAAACAAAAAAAAAAAAACAACCATGCCTCGTATTCCAAATAAAGTAGAGACAAGAATCTCAGTGCTGGCTAAAGTACTAGGCACTGTTCTATAGCCTGATACGGTCATCCATATTCTGCTTCACTCAATACTGAAAAATCCACCAATGTTTTAAGCTCCTGCAGGTTCTTTCACATAGATACTAATTAAGTAGCTTCTCTCAAACACAGAATGAAATATAAAATTTCCTCCTAAACACCGTTTTTTCCTTGTCCAATCTATTGGATTGATTTGACTATGCATTTCACTTTATGAAATGTTAGCACTGAAAACAAATAACCATCATTCTAGATTAACTGTGGATTATTCTTTTTTCAATTGATTACACACAACATATCCATGTTAAATTAATGAATGAATAAACATGTAGCAATAGGAAAAGGGCATGGTAAGGACCAGCAAACACCAAAAAGGAAAACTCCATTAGTTTTAATTATAGGTTTTAATCTATAATTCTGCTTTGTTTTAATCCAACTCTCTGTGGCTAAGAAAAATAGACACCCTAGCACCTACTACTCATCTGGAATAACCAAAGATGAACATTTTCCTATAATAGCCATGACTACTGGCATCATATTCATGAGAAACAGGAAATGAAAAAATAGGAGAATTCCAGAAAGTTTTTAAAAATGCATACACTGTAAAATAGTACAGGAAACTGAGAGGCAGCATATGTGTAAGTTATATACCTTAGCTGGATCCTGGTCTTAGTGTAAGAGTACATGCAAGTATACAGAAACATTTAAAAGCCAACAAAAATAAAACCTACTTCTTTCCTTACCAAGAGAATTAGTTCCTTGAAACATCTGTTGCTTGCTTCCCAGATTACTACTACCATTTGTGGATACGGAATTATTGTAAAAGTCAGAACTAGTCAGATCACCAAGAATAGCATCTAGATGATCCAAGTCTCCAGGTCCCTGAAAATAATTTTTTAATTAATCTGTGATTATTACTAGATATACAGGGATAAACATATTCATCAAAATACATAAAACGGGAACAAGTAAAATACAGTTATATACCTAAAATGACAGTGGTCAACTTAAAGCCCACATTATTATGGCCCCTATCTCTATTCTTCCTCCTCAAAGAAAGAACAGTTTAAACTACTGAGATAAATCACACATTTTTTATTTACACTAGACAGTGAACTAATTCTCAAGCTGTGGGATGTTTTCCAGCTAACACTAGTCACCAGCACTAAAGTGATCATTAGCTGACAAGAGATGTCTGCATCCATACATACTTCCTGGAAACAAGCACTGACTAATAATAAAGCAACAGGCTGATGTTCAGCATGGTATTCACAGGTGTGCTCCAAAATGGCTTTCAGCCAATAAATTGGGTAAATAGTAGGTTAAAGAAAGTTACACAGCCATCTTAAGTGTAAAGCTTCTCTGAGCCTTTAATTTGCTCAGAGGCATATTAAAATCTCCTGGAATAGCATCCCTCAAGCAGAGTTTGCGAAATGTTTATACAGAGGGAGATCATGTACATGAAACTTGATTTTTAGGTCAAATCAAAATTGCTGTTGCTTAAAAAAAATTTTCCTCCTTTGTACCTCTACCATACCCTTAATGAACCACTCTGCTCATTCCAACAAGAAACACCTCACATGAAACTTTTCAAATTTGCTACTAAAGAGTTAGAGCCACATTTTAAAACATACACATCCAATACTTCTCAATTGCATCATAATATACTTTAACAGATGTCCAAAACAAATACAAAGAAACAATAACTCAAAATTAACTTCCTATAAACAAACCTAAAATAGAACAATTTGTATACATTATCTTTCTAACACCAAAATGTAATGATGACTAAGCTGGAATATACAGAAAAATTACCTCTTCATTTGTTTCTGTCTTGATTTTAGAGTCTTTTTCTTGACTCGAGCTAGGAATGGCAGAGCTGCCACATTGACTCATTTTACTATCAATGCCTTCCACTTTGGGCTGTAGCTCTTTAGAGAGGGTGTCACTAGGATCATCCCTGTCTAGCAGATACCTAAGAAGCGCATTATTTTCTTTCTTCTTAGGACTTAGCTGCTCCTGCTTGACATTCCCTTCCCCACAAGAAGTTGTACTATTGGTGTCTCTCCCAGTTGCTTCTGCTGTAATCTTGGCTACTTCAGCTGGCGAATTCCCATTCTGTAGCAACTTGTGCAAAATTCTGTGTTTCTTTTGCAACAGTGACCCATGCATATTGGATGTGGAGGACACACCTCCAGAAGTAGAAGACGAGACTCCAGAAGGGCTGGTGACGCTAAGGGATGAGTCTTTACAACTCGAATCCAGGGGAGAGCTGGTCAAGGAGGAATGACCTCGGTCATCCGAAGAATAGGTAAGTAACTGCAGTAATTTTTTATGACCTTTGCTTTCCAGAGGACCTCTTTGATTATCTGACCCTTCTACATTGCTCTCTTTACTTTCTTTGTCACTGAGGTGATCCCTGCTATTTGACTGACACATTGAACTCTCTACTGGATTCTGGTCACAATATATGCCTAGAGGGCTCTTGGAATCCTGGCTGTTCACTTTACTTGGCTGGGTTATATTCATATTGGGAGAGTTATCCAACTTGGGGCCTGGTGAAGAGAGAGTAGATAGAAGAGAAGTCCCCACGCCCTCACTGATAGCCTGCAGGGCGCTGAGAGAGCTGCTGGAAAAGCTGTGGCTCCCAGTATTGCCAGAAGATCCCATGGGAGAGTGTACACCTGGATTTGGAGAAAAGTTAGGAAAGAGAGTTAGACTATCACAGACGATAACAAAACCCACTTAATACTTCAAAGTTTCTATCATAAATGATTTAACTTTACAAGAATTATAGTGGTACGGAGAGAAAAGAATAATTACTGAAAAAGAAAAGGAAATGTCACTATAAATACCTGCAACAGGAGAAAACTGGTGTGAGGCCATCTTTGGACTCCCACGACTACGAGGAGAAATCATGATATTCTGCTGGTTGGAGCCAAGACCAGGACTCCCGTGTGGGGGGCTACTCATGCTGAGAGCATAGTTGTTGTTCTGGTAGGAAGATGGTGACTGCATGCCTGGCCCAGGGTTCATTGAAGCAATGTTACTGGAGCCCCCATACCTAGCTCCACTCATCTGCCCTGTGGTGCTGGGGTCTGTCAGGCCATAGGTCCTGCTGCTCAGCATCTGTAAGCCTTGGTTTGGTGACATGCTCATGCCACCTACTGAATTATTGCATCCAGCTACAGGAGGTCTAATGCTTTGTCCAAGAGGATTTGGGTTTGGTCTATACCCATTCTGTTCTCTGCAAAGAAACACAACATCAGAATTTTACTTAAAAAAATGACAAGCATGTGTCAAAGCTCTGAATCAGATAAACAAGGGATTAAGCACACAGGAACTTAACTTCTTCCACACTATTCTAATACTAGTGACAATTCCAACATAGATATTAACCTAAGTACATATTTTTTACAAGCTGCAGAATCTAAATCAGTGACACCACTACAGCACTGAGAAGTGCCAACAGCTATGTTATATGGACTCCTTGTTGGTGTTGTTGTTAGGTGTCACTGAGTCGATTTTCAACTCATAGCAACCCCATATGACAAAACAGAACTGCCTCATACTGTTTTCTTGGCGGTTATCTTTAAGGAGGCAGATCATCAGATGTCTTTCTCCTACAGAGCTGATGGGTAGGTTCAAACTGCCAACCTCTAAGTTAGCAGCCAAGCAATTAACCACTGTACCACCAGGGGTCCTACCAGTGCTTAACTAGAGTTGTCACATATCTAAGAGTGGTAAATGGAGGTACCTAGCCTAAAAGTCACTCAAGGTGATTAATGGTAATTATCCACCTCCAAGTGGTGCTCATGTATCATTAGCAACACCAATATTAACTATCATTTATTCTTAAAGGCAAGATACAAATTTTATATTAAATCCTTAAAAGCAATGTAATATACTGTTACAAATGAAAGGTAACAGATGTGGTCAGATTTTACATGTTCTTTCACCCACTAGCCTTCCCATTCCCCAGCTTTCTCAAGAAGTGATTATTTAATGAACAAATACTCATTTTCAAAGAAAAATATAACCTTAAAAAACAAATCATAATCCAGGAATCTAAACACACTTCAGCAAATCCAATAGCTCCATGCTTTTTCTCTCATTAAATTTTCACCTGTTTTACATTAATAATAAAGCATCTTGAGAATACTGTTGCATTTAATATGAGAATACACAATAATCCATCATTACCTTTGAAGAAAGTGGGTTGAGACAAAGCCATGACGATCATTTGTTACAGGGTTTCGGAAGAGTTTGCTTTTGGTTTGTGCAGTCACTATAGTTCCATCAGCCAAAGAGAATCGATACACTGGGGTTTCTGCATGGCCATGGATGTAAGCTATTGGGAAAAATATCTCAGTAGTAGTAATGACAATCAGCAAAATAAATTCATGTAGGAGAGAAGAAGAAAACATTCTTCAGGCATAACATTTTCAAAATCCAATGTTAACAATGAATCTGCACCAAAACTAAGAAAAGGCTAAAATATTAACTCAAGAATCATTTTTCTATCTCACCTCTCCCCCACGCCATGACAACTAATACCATATATATAGTTACAACTTTATAACAGACTATCAAACAAAATGACAAACAAGATCAAGAGTTAATCCGAAAATTTACTACCTTCTTGATAATGACGTTTCTGGGACCATGACTGCCCATCGTTAAGACTAAAAAATCTCTGGATACACCGTCGGATTATATCTTCAAAGCCAGGCCTCATGGAGGATCTCAGAGAATTTGTATCTATATTGACAACTTTGCCTATTAACCAGAAAATAAAAGATTTAAATCAAACTCAGAAGTATTTCTTGGTTGTCTGCTGGTTGTCTACTGTGTGGATTAGCACTGAAGAATAAAATAAAAGATACTCAATCACTGTTCCACCTTCCCTAAGTTTCTGGCATATCCAGAGCTTTTCTCTTTAAGGCCATCATCCTGCAGAACACTCTTATATCTAAATGTTCTGCTGAATGAATGTAAAAATGTATCACACAACTCCCTTACGAACACATAGAGTATAACTTGTTCAGATAATCTAAGGCTTCATTTTCATTTAAAAAGAAAAAAAAAGGTAACACATTCCAGTAAAATTGTTAATCTGAATATATTCTGTTCTGCAACCATGAGGCTAAAGAAAAACCCTGCCTCAACAGCTAGTAGGCATAATTCTTTCCATCTGAGGTGACTGCATTTTTGTACACTTAAAGTCTAAACTGAGAGGGCTAACCAATTCTCATTTCTACAATTCTGCAAGTTTCTGCCAATTTTTTAGCATCAAATATACTGAAGAGACCAAATGTACATACTCAAAATTGCTATGAAACTGAAAAAGGTTTTTTGAAGACAGCGGTCCTTTGAAAATAGCTAAGCCTTTTTCCTCTGAGCAGCATCATGGCGGTTTGCAAGAACAAGCACCTTACAAAAAGAGGCAAAAAGAGAGCAAGAAGAAAGTGCTTGATCCATTTTCTAAGAAAGACGGATATGATGTGAAAGCCCCAGCTATATTCAATATAAGAAATATCAGGAAAACACTAGTCACAAGGACTCAAGGAACCAAAATCACATCTGAGTGTCTCAAGAATTATGTTTCTGAAGTGAGTCTTGAAGCAGATCTGCAGAACAATAAAGTTGCATTTAGAAAATTCAAAGGAATTACTAGGGATTATTCAGGGCAAAAACTGTCTAATCAACTTCTATGGCATGGATCTTACCCATGAGAAAATGTGTCCCATGGTCAAAAAAATGACAATGATTGACACTCATGGTGATTCCGAGACTATCAACAGTTATTTGTTTCATCTGTTCTATGGGGATTTTACTAAAAAATGCAACACTCAGATTCAAATGATTGCCTACACTCAGCACCAACAGGTCCACCAACTCCAAAAGGTGATGAAGATAATAGCCCTGGACAACTGGGCAAATGACTTCAAAGAAGCACTCAATAAATTGATTCAAGACAGAAAGATATAGAAAAGATTTGCCAGTCTATCCTCCCTATGATGTGTTCCTTAGAAAAGTAAAAATGCTAAAGAACACCAAGTACAGATTGGGAAAACTTATGAAGCTTCATAGTTAAGGTAGTTCTGAAAAAGCTACTGAGGATGAGACCGGCACTAAAGTTGCATGAGTTAATGGTTATGACACAGAAGTCCAAGAATCTGTTTAAAATTCAGACTTTTAATAGTGACAAATAAAAAGTCTGATTAGTGAAGAAACAATGAATAACGAGAGGGACAAACGCGTTTCAGAAAAGAAGAAACACACGTGCACTGTGCCCAGACTGGGGATGATCTCCTCTCACTCGCCTCCCCTAAGCTTAGCCCTGAGCTACATAAAAAACAAAATAGATGCTCAGAAATAGTGAATGAAGGAACAGGTAGCTACCCCAGCGACAGACTATAAAACCTCTCTCCAAAGGCCAAAACAAGTAATGAGTTGAATGTAACAAACCTCCTACGAAATAACAGATAGTAACCGGAAGATACCAACTGTAATTATGTAAAATGGCTCTCGGTTTCAAATTATGTTAACTAGAAAAACACATTTGATTGTTTTTGCTAGGTATTTTCTAGCTTTTATAAATAAACATGTATTCCTTCCATAATAAGAAAAAATATTAATGAGAATTTTTAAAGATGCTATCTTGTTAAACTGCTTAGGTAAAGATGTTTTAGTTATCTTTGATAACAAAATGTAAAGTATTTACAGAGAAAATTAAGACTGCCAAATTACAACAAGGCTCAGAAGAACACCGACTCTAAAAGGGTAATAGATAAAAACTCCTGTCGCCATGTTTGATTTTCTCAAGGTGACCAAATAAAGAGAAACTTTTCCAATATAAATTAGTATCCATCAGTATAGACAAACTGACAATCCAGAATAAAGAACTTTGTTGTTTTTTGGGTTCTTTTTTTTTTTCCACATCTGTGCAAATTAATCTCAAGCAGCCTCAAACAGGCAACTAGGCCTAGTACCAAAAGGTTGAATGATTGAGAAAATAGCTATTTTTTACAATAAAATATTACAGCAACTATAGCTATGTTTTGTATTTATTTACACCTGCTCCATTTTGTTAAATCGCTACAGAGCACCCACAAGGACATTATAGGGTAAAAGTATAGTGTTATCCAGAGCAAAGACCACGGGCTTTGAAGTCAGGCAAATCAAGGTGCAAATTCTGTTATTAGCCATGATCTCAGACAAATAACCCAACCCCTCTCTCACCAAGCCTGTTTTCCCATCCATGAGATGGAACATACATGGTAAACCCTTTGCATCATCATGTAGGGTTTCAGATGATAAGAATAGGCTTGAAGGTAAGTATAGATAATATTGCCATGCCATTGAATTTCATCAACGCGCATTTATCAACTGCCCATCGTCTTTAATTTTTTACTCCCATGGTTACAAAATGGCAAACCAACACTGAAGATCATGTGCTATTGTTAGGTGCTGTTGCGTCGGTTCTGACTCATAGCAACCTATGTACAACAGAATGAAACAATGCCTGGTCCTGCACCATCCTCACAATTGTTATGCCTGAGCCCACTGTTGCAGCCACTGTTTGTCAATCCATCTCTTTGAGGGTCTTCCTCTTTTTCACTAACCATCTACCAAGCATAACGTCCTTCGCCAGGGACTGGTCCCCTCACGATAACATGTCCAAAGTACATGAGACAAAGTCTCACCATCTTTGCTTCCAAAAAGCACTCTGGTTGTACTTCTTCCAAGACAGGTTTGTTCATTTGCCTGGAAGTTCTTGATATATTCAATATTCTTCACCAACAGCATAATTCAAAGGCATCAATTCTTCTCCAGTCTTATTCACTGTCCAGCTTTCACAAGCATAAGAGGCAACTGAAAACACTAGAGCTTGGGTCAGGCGCACCTTATTCAGATGTCAGGAATTACGCCCAGTAACTCTCATTAAATTACATCTATTTTTTAAAATCTTCTTTCTTTACGATAAGTGGGTCTGAAGTTACGGAAAAGAAATACTAAATTCTGATCCAAAATGCTATTTGGAGAAGGAGCCAGATGTCTCTACATTTGTTTTTAGATTCTTTTATCTGGGGACTCTTAAGTGTTGAATATACCCAATTCTCGAGCAAAGGGTTTTAATGAAATCTCCCTTAGGGTTTTATGTAAGAAACAAAGGGAATAACACATACAAAACATTCATTACGGTGGATATAGGAAATTAAATGACAATGCAGGCAGTAGAAACACTGACACTTATAAAACACTTTAAAAATGAATACACACACACAAAGTTCTTACCTGAAAGATCATGTCTAGTAATGAAGCTTTCGGGATTTGATGGAAACACTCTTTCTGCTGTAGTAATGCGGCGTGCCACGCAGATCATGCAGGATTGCAAGTCTACGATAAAAAAAATTTAACCAGATAAGAATTACATTTACCTTTTGTATACCTTTAGGCTAGTAGGAAAATGAATTCAAGAAGAAGAGTTCCAACAATGGAAATTACAAAAGGAGAAGTTTGTCTGTTACTTGTTTCAGAAACATCACAAACATATGATTGCTCTTACCTTCCCCTTCCTCCATCATAGCTCGTGGTTGGGACAGGGCAAAGCACTGCATTGTTTCATATCTCTGGCGCATTTCAGGGCTGGGGCTTATGTCTTCCAGTACATCATGCGGTGTTTTCATCAACATACGGCAATTAAATGTATGGCTCTTTTGCCTCTGTGTCTCATTTGTCCAGGTAACTCCATTAACTTTGGAAAACAAATTAAGAAGAGTTTCTTTAAAGTTGGCAATTCAGTCTATGACCATCATAAAAAATTCAAGCTATATTTTCTCACTACACGTATCTACCATAGTAATATCTCCACTAATGTTTCAGAGTAGCAACATACAAAATACTGGAAAAATTTCAACTTCAACAGAAATCTCAATAACTCACTATGTACTCTAGTTCCATGAAACGTACACCAAATTCTGAATTCACAAGATCATATCTGAAAATTTTGCTATTAACTTTTCTAGATTGATCACTTGGCTTCCAAAAAAAAGATATATTTGATTTTCTAAGCTATGGTCAAGGAAATATTTTAAACAACATATCTAGAAAACATACGCCAAGACTCTACCTGTAGATTTCGGCAAGTTTTTAAGAAAATCCTTTCTGTCTTCTTCATGTAAGATACTGTAGACACTTGTGTTGACCAGGTCCTCTTGTTTATACTGCAGGTATTGTGTGACATTTTCTGACACAAATACAATGTTTCCATCTCGATTCACCACAAATAGGAAACCATCCAATGCCTAAAATGGAATCACATTTTAATACCTACCTTATCACTAACCTGGAGCCCTGGTGGCGCAGTGGTTAAGAGCTTGGCTGCTAACAAAAAGGTCAGCAGTTCGAATCCACCAGCCGCTCCCTTCGAGACCCTATGGGGCAGTTCTACGCTGTCCTATAGGGTCGCTATGAGTAGGAATCGACTCTAGGGCAATGGGTTTGGTTTTTTGGTTTAGCACTAATTACTGCAAACAACTATCAGCCACTATTTTTACTAATATTAATATCATTGCTACAAGATTTTACAAAATAATAAAAAAAAGACAGTTTTTTAAAAGACAAATAAGGTCAACATAGAATCAGAATTAATTACATCTCCAAAGAAGCTTTTAAAAATAAGACAATCATCCTTAGGTCTTCATTTTTCCACCTGATGCCAACTCAACCTACAGGAATAACACTACTCCTTACTGAGAATTTACTAAGAGGATGTAAAAAGTGATAAACTCACTAAATAGACAATAGATAAGTAGTAGCTTTGGTGACAGGTAAGACAGTACACAGTACTGGGGGAAGTCAGCACAACTTCACCAAGGCAAGGTCATGGAAGCTTCATAGACACATCCAAACTCCCTGAGGGACCAAATTACTGGGCTGAGGGCTGGGGACATGGTCTCGGGGGATATTTAGCTCAACTGGCGTAACACAGACTATGAAGAAAATGTTGTACACCCTACTTTGGTGAGTAGCGTCTGGGGTCTTAAAAGCTTGTGAGCAGCCATCTAAGATACTCCACTGCTCTCACCACTTTGGGAACAAGGAGAATAAAGAAAACCAAAGACACAAGGGAAAGTTAGTCCAAAGGACTCACAGACCACAACTACCAAAGCCTCCAGCAGACTGAATCCAGCACAACTAGATGGTGCCCGGCTACCACCACTGACTGCTCTGACAGGGATCACAATAGAAGGTCCCAGGTAGAGCTGCAGAAAAATGTAGAACAAACTTATAACTCACAAAAAAAGACCAGACTTACTGGCCTGACAGAGACTGAAGAAACCCCAAAAGTATGGCCCCCCAGACACCCTTTTAGCTCCTCACTCCTAAGGTTCACCCTTCAGCCAAAGATCAGACAGGCCCATAAAACAAAACGAGACTAAATGGGCATACCAGCCCAGGGGCAAGGATGAGAAGGCAGGAGGTGGTAGGAAAGCTGGTAATGGGGAACCCAAGGTCGAGAAAGGGAGAGTGTTGACACATCAAGGGGAGCTATAGGTTAAACGGATCAGATCTATTTAAGGCAACTACTGACAAAATATGCACATTTTTAAAACTTGGAAGTTCCTCAAGAATATAGCACTATAGTGTGCCAGATGATCAATTGTGACAAAAACGCAGAAAAAGCCTGAGCTAAAATATTTCCAAATGTTACCTCTGACAAGTAAAATTACAAGTTATCTTGCCCTTCTTGCCTCTTTATATATTTTTTGTGCTTTCCCAGTTTGCAACTGTATTTTTTAAAAGAAATGAGGTCTCTTCGAGCTACATATACTGAAAATATAAGAAAAGTTTACCATCATATTCAGAATATTGAGTTCTGTCTCATAAAAAGAAACATTTTATTTTTGCTGTCATTTCCTAACCAAAATCCCATCTTTTTTTTTTTTTTAATCATTTGGTAACATAATCAAAATGCAACCCAGCTTACTGGGTGTCTAAAACCTTTATACTTGCCTGAAGTAAAAGTGGTCCTAAGGAGTCTTTATCAATAACTCCCTGTCCTGTAGAAGATACATCAGCTTTCTGAACATCATCGTCATTGGAAATAGCTTTTCCTGAAAAGACAGAAGGCAGTATTATAAATAACAAGTATATCAATTATAGATTAAATAAACCCTCAAATCGTCCTCAGAACAGACACAGACACACATGTGTCCACAGGTACACGCACATAAACAGCATTTCCTGGTAAGAGATAATGCTACAATTTTAAAATTAAATTTCAGAGTTACCCAGAAGGGCAGAAGATATACTAAATTCTCTTTTACTACTAAAGATACTGCCCATGGCTTCCTAAAACAGAACTAACATTTGACAGGGTGGGCAACGCTAGCCTTCTTTCAATTCTCTGTTAACAGTTTCCTAAAAAGCTGGGTAGGTCAACTCATTCATCCATTCCCACATATACTAGCCTCAATGAGTAATAGTTCCCACCTAAACAAGGTAACAAAAAGGAAAACGTAAACAAAGTTAAAAAGTTCCTTCTAAAACACTTGAGTGTTTTTCTTACTTTGTATTACCTTGCTCTTTTATTTGACGTATCTGTCTTACTGTTTCCTTTAAAATTGCACATTTATCTGGTTTGACATTGAAATTGTCAATATCACTAAGATTAGCAGATATCAGTTCGGCCAATTCTTCAATGTATTTACTCTCCTGCTCCCTTCTCCACTTTTCACCACTGCAGGTAAGACTAACAAAGGAAAAAGAAGAAAAAAAAAAAAAAAAACGGGGGGAGGGGGGAGGAAGCCATGAATATACTTATCACAAAAAAGCTGTGAGCAGAATCAGCTCCTACTACTATCATATTAACTTTATATGTAAACAAACTAAATTCAGCCAATAGAAACTATTAAAACATTGCCTTGGAGAAGTAGTACAACACAGTGGAAAGTCATGCAAACCTAAATTCAGTTCCACCTTTTTGTTAGCCGGGAGGTCTTGGGCAAGGTTAGCCTGAGTTTCCACATCTGGAAAATGGGGGTAATCAGTGTTTCGTTTGTAGAGGTTGTAAAACAACTAACAAATAATAATAAAAACAATGGTAGCTACTTATTATTAATTAATTGTAGATTTTGTTTTCAATTTTTTAACTATCACTTCAAAATTCAAATGACGCTTACACCTTGGCACAATACTAGAAAAGCTACAGAGTAACACTGATTTATAGTATTTATTTCCCTTTCTTTTTGAACTTCTAATTTCATTGAGGAAAAGAATGATGAAACCTTAGAAATGCCAAAATATCCATTTATTACATATTGTTAATGGACAGCAAAGATTCTTACTTACAATGAACCTTCGTCATCTACTCCTGACTACTAAACTCCTACCTCCTCTGTCCAGAAATGCTTCTTACAGTACCACAGACTGTTAATCTAATATTCTAGCTTCTATCAGAATCAGCAATAAAGCCTCTATTACATTATATGAATGTCTACCTCATCACTGTTTCACTCTACTTACTACAAAGCAAATCACATTAAGCAAAAACAAAAAATCTAACCAGAAAATGTAAATAACAGTAAGTTGGAATTTTATCTTTAAACAAAAGGTGAGGGAGGAGGTGTGAAGGAATGTGAAATAAATCACCTACCCTTGCCCTGGGGTATCACAGGGCAATTTGCGTTTTCGTGAATCAGTGGTCAGGGGATCCAAGGAGTTTTCTCCTAATCCACTCATCTTGAATATACATCAGCAACTAAGAAAGAAAAGCATAAAATGTCAGTGACTCTATAAAGGTACAGTATGACTGAATGACTTATAATGCAGAACTACTTTCTCTAAAAGGTTAGATAATGCTCAATATTCTTTACCATAAATAAGTATTCTGAAGACAATCTCGGAATTCATACTGCAGTTTAATTACACAGAATGTCCAACACAAAGGCAGAAATGTTTCAAGCCCTACTAATAATGTGTACACTGAATATCTCACGAGGAATAAGGCATCTTCTTCATACTTAATAACAAAAAAAGAGACTAAGTCTTCTATACTGATAAAATTCTGAATTCTATTTTTACCCAGGTGAGCCCAAATACAAGCGTATCTGGTACTTTGGAAAGAAGTCTTTGGGTGGTAAAAGTTTAAATTATTCAGGGTATTTTCAAGGTAGCACATTTTTTTCTATGGACTATTTCTTCAATATTTGTCATCCAATGTGTCTTTCTTCTGTTACTACAAAATAAACCTAGATTGTGTAAACAACATTTTAAAACTCTACTATACTCTACTTAGAAAGTAGATGTGAAACAATAAATCTCCTGAAGACATTTTCACAAAATCCACACAGTACCAACTATTTTAATATTAACTGACAAAAAAAATACAGTATGCTTCAGTTAAAAGTTTCTTTGATGGCTTGCCAAGCGGCCATCTAAGATGCATCAATTGGTCCCAACCACCTGGAGTAAAGGAGAATGAAGAACACCAAACACATAAGGAAAGTTATTAGCCCAAGAGACAGAAAGGGCCACATAAACCGGAGACTTCATCAGCCTGAGACCAGAAGAGCTAGATGGTGCCCGGCTACCACCAATGACCGCCCTGACAGAGAACACAACAGAGAGTCCCTGATGGAGCAGGAAAAAGGTGGGGTGCAGAACTCAAATTCTAGTAAGAAGACCAGAATTTATGGTCTGACTGAGACTAGAGGAACCCCGGAAAGCATGGCTCCCAGATTCTCTATGAGCCCAGAACTAAAACAATTTCCAAGACCAACTCTTCAGACAAAGATTGGACTGGACTGTGGGACATAAAATGATAGTCATGAAGAGTGTGCTTCTTAACTCAAGTAGGTACATGAGACTAAACAGGCAGCTTCTGTCCGGTGGTGAGATGAGAAGGCACAGAGGGTTAGGAGCTGGTGGAACGGACATGGGAAATCAGGGGTGGAAAGGAGGAGTGTGCTGTCATAGTACAGGGAAAGCAATTAGGGTCACATAACAATGTATGTATAAATTTTTGTCTGAGACTAACTTGAAATGTAAACTTTCACTTAAACTACAACAATAAACAAAAAAAAAAGTTTATTTGATTAAGACAAATGTAGGGCATTTTTCGATAAGGAAAGCAGATTTTAATACTCAGTAGCTCGTAACTGTAAGACATCTACTAAGCCTTCATTTACTAAGAATATTTCATGTCTAAAACTCTTGCTTAGGATAACACAAGTCATTGCTCTAAAGAATTCCAGGCCCACTAATGAAGTTCAGGCATTCTAAAATATTTTTTCTTAATATGTTAAAATGCATCTAGCATTTCATCTAGACTCTACAGGAAATACACTGAATGACATAAATTTCCACTAGGTGGCAAAATTCTACCAGGGAGACAAATTAATAAAAATGTAAAAATTCACACAAGATGCTGATCAAACTTAAAATATATAGTTTAAAAAATATATATCGAAATCACACAATCGTTAATCAGGAGTTCTAGACTATGTCATCATCTTTACAGATGACCTAGGAGGCATGAATTAAAATTTGATTTACCTGTAATTTCAGTAGTAAAATGTAAACTCTGAAAAGCTGAGTTATTTGGTGTTTTTGTTCCATGACAAAGTTAAACTACATAGAGAAAATAATTTTAAATAACCTTGATTAATAGTAGCTCAATATTATGATTTTAAAGCATACTCGTATCACACAATCCCAAGAGTACTGTATTCTATTCTTCAAAAATGCCAGTATCATAAAAGAAAAAGTCTGTGTAAATATTCCAGATTAAAGGACACTAAAGAGGAATAATAAATGCAATATATGATCCTCAACAAGACCCTGGACTGAAGAGGAAAATGCTTATTAAAAAATTTTTGAATCAACTAACAAAAATGCAATAGACATAAAAGTATTTTATCAATGTTAAATTTACTGACATTGAGTCTATACTGTGGTTAGGACTATCCCTATTCTTAAAGGGTAAAAGGGCCATTATGTACATGAACGACCTGCTAATGGCTCAGGAAAAAATTATATACATGAGGTTAATGTTGATGTGCACATAGAGAAATATGAATATATCTACATATATCCACATACACATGTGGCTCTTCCTATTGATCTAGCAGAAAAACAAGCTATAACATGCACATATGACTGTGAAGTCTACACGCTGCTAAAGGGCCCTCTACTACTGGATCTCCAACATTACTTTACAGAGTCCAATAATCCTTAGGTTTTTATACCCCCTATTATAATCCTGAGGTAATTATCCAGATTAACTCGCTGCCATCAAGTCAAGTCCGATTCACAGTGACCCTACAGAACACAGCAGAATGTCCCATAGGGTTTCCAAGGGGCTGGTGGATTTGAATTGCCAACCTTTTTGTTAGCAGCTGAGCTCTTAACCACTATGCCACCAGGGCTCCATTATCCAAATAACTAAGTGCAAAATTCTAACTTAAATTTAAAACCATGGTAATGGTGTTTATCCAAACAAACATGAATGTATAATTACTTAAGATAAAAAAAAAAAAAAGACGACAAGCATTTTATAAGAAACAGATTTGACAGATTTTTTTTTTTCTAGTTCTTACTTAGATATGGATAACCATTGGTACTACATTTACTGTACAACGCCTAAAGGACCACAATGTCCACAGAATGAATGATGAACTACTGTGTAACAAAAATCAAAGTATAGTAAAATACACCTCCTAAATTTTACTAAGCTAAAGAAAATGTTCAATCATGAAAAACAGAAAATGAGCATGTTTGCGGAAATAAATAACAGTTTCATCACATGTAAAAACTAATACAATAATTCCTGAGCACAAATGACTATAACAAACACTTCTTATGTACAGTTTTCCTTTTGGTATTAACCTTAATTTTAAATGAATATAACAATCACTTCTAAAAATTATAAACAGCATTTGCTTTACTCGCAGGGCATGTTTATCTGTTTCTCAATGGCATATACAGACCCAAACCATATATACCTGGAAGGATAAACTACTTAATTTGATAAATTACTCCTTTTAAGGTATGAAAGACAAATATCTAGCATACACAGTCAACCTAGACCATTTTCAGTCAGCAGTCAAGAATTAGGATAGGACAAAGGGATGCAGCCAGCACCAGGCCCATGAATAGATCATTATCCCCCCAGAAATTTTAAAGGTTAAGAAACAGACCAGTAACTCTATAGCTTATATTTTGTATAATTACAACCCATCTGGATATAAGGAGTTGCTAAAAGAGCAAATAATATAGCACAAAAGTCTCACAGTGTCTTTGATTATAAGGACAGCCTATTAATATTAAGCCCTTCTAAATTCTGACTCCTTACAATTAAAGATTATCATCTATACAGCTAAGTAGAAAAGTATTTATGATCACAATATATACCTGCCCAAAAGTAATCTGTGCTCTTGGAATCATGGTCATAAATCCAATAGTGAGATGCATACATATATTTTGAAGTTTCTAATGAAAAGATGTCCCCCAATTTGTTGTTCAAACAGAGATACACTACATTTTCACACAATCCAATCACAGAAGCCTTCCAAATCCCAGACATCACAGTATAGGAAAGGACTAAAAAGTTGGGAAACTTTTCACTGAGTCAGAATTCAAAGACCCAAAATGTATTCACTCTTTTAATGTGAACTCTACCACTCAGATCTGTGAGCCATTTTCACAATTATTTTCCTTGTCTAAAATGTTTCTACATGAAAGAACTGAATGGTGTATTGCCAAAGTGTAATATAACAATACACTTTAAGCTTACCTTTAAGCAAGATAGTCTATGCAATTACTTCAAATATAGAATAGTAGCAATTAACAATACCTTTCACTACTATCAAAATCTAACATTACAAATTTCTATATTATTTGGAAAATTAAGAAGCAGATCCATGTTAAGACTTAAAATGAGTAAGAATCTATAAGCAGTTGGATATAATATCTATACATAACAATCATGCTATGGTACATGTTTAAGCTTAGACATCCACAGAGTATCACAGATAGCTAGAAAATGAACATTCCTAAACTCTGATTAAGGCTAAAAAGCAGCAAAGAATTATATTTGCCAGCTCAAAAACCATGAAAATTTTGGTATATGGCTTAGCAACATTAACCAGCTTTCCTTTTGGTTATTTAGGGTTCAGACAGGAAGAAAACTCTTGATTATTTACAGCAACTTGTCAGAAGGACAAGCATACAGGAAGTACTCCCCTGTCCAAGAGGAAATGATACCAATCAACAATGCCAGTGTCTATCAGGCAAGCAAGAAGTTATTTTGGGAACCTAAGAAAAGCCACCCTGTGTTAAAATGGGGAAGAGACGTTGTCTTAGTTATCTAGTGCTGCCATAACAGAAATACCACAAGTGAATGGCTTTAACAAACAGCAATTTATTCTCTCACAGTCTAGGAGGCTAGAAGTCCAAAATCAAGGCGCCAACTCCAGAGGAAGGCTTTCTTTCTCTGTTGGCTCTGGGGGAAGTTCCTTGTCATCAATCTTCCCCTGGTCTAGGAGCTTCTCAGCACAGGGACCGTGGGTCCAAAGGATGCACTCTGCTCCTGGCTCTTCTTGCTTGATGGTAATGAGATGTCTTCTCTGTTTGCTTCTCTCTTTTATATCTCAAAAGAAACCGACTCAAGACACAACCTAATCCTGTAGACTGAGAACTGCCTCATTAACATCACAGAGATTAGGTTTTATAACAATAGGATGAAACATCAGATCACAA